TCCAAGTTCTGCTAAATTTTTAAGTACAAAATAAAATTTTTGTCTTGAAATAATTCTGTTCTGCACAGTTTAAGGCTTCAGAGTTATAGTTAGGCCATGCATTTGGGTCATTGACTACAAATGAGAAGCTGACACAGTCTGGTCAAACAGGCATTTACAGGTGAGAACAGACACTTTGAGTATTTAGGCTTTTATGTACAAGTGGAAAAAATACCCCCTCAGGTTTCTTTCATCAGATATTTAATAAATGTAATAGTAGGCCTAACCCTCTTTTCTCTGTGTCTATAAATAATTGAGTAATTTTTAAAACCATGGGTATTCAATCTTATCCTGAATATGTTTGTGTTAGGCACTGAAATGTGAATTAATTGGTTCAGTTGTGTGCTTAGCTCATAATATCAGTCAGCATGATTTTCCTGTTGAAGGGCAGAACTTGGTAAACGTGATCTCCCCTGCTTTTCTCACCTTCCCTCTGGCAAAAGGGAGGGACATGAACTGAACAGACCATTACAGCTGTTCAGAACAGTTCTGGTACCAGTTTTTTAAAGAAAAGCTCTCAAGGGTCTATTTCTCTTGTATTCACAATACTTGTTATGTTCATTTATGGGCACATTAAGACTTTTGAAAAAATTATTTCTTTACATATATTGTACTGAAGGCAAAATTATGTGCAACTTCTGACAAGGAAAAATGGTGTGATTTGAGCATGATCCCACAGATTGGTATTTGTTTCCATGCTGGAACAGCATCCCTTAGTGTGTGAATATTGTCTGAACCTTGCCTGAGGGAAGCCTGAGGACCTGACAGAGTCATGCAGGCTTGGAGCTCAGCTGGAGATACAGAGATGTTTTCCAGTGTGATCATGTAGATCAGCTGTTCCATTGAATACTACCAGTTTGTAAGTTTGGTGAACATGCTTCAGGAACAGGGTATTTAGCATTTTCTTTAGATGTTAACTGATTTGTTGTTGTTTTAAAATGGAAAAAGCTGCACTCTGTTTTCTTGCATTTGGGAATGTATCTTGCAGTGGTTTTGACTGTAAATTCAGATGTAGCAACGAGATAAGTGGTGTCTATTATTGGAAAAAATTAGTATTTATTTGACAGTTTCTGAAGAGCAGCTGCTTCATCTAAACTAACCAGATAAAGGCCTGGAAGAGAAAGGGGGCTTAAATATAGGCTTAAAAAGGTTCACAAAATACATACTTCAAGGAAGATAAACAACATATGTAAGGACTATGTCTTATCTCCTATCCTGAAAATTAATGGCGAGAATCTCCCTGAGCAGGAATGGAAACTATATTTTCCCCAATCCTATCCTTGAATCATGCAACAATTCATAAGGAAATTCATAAGAAGTGACATTTTGGATGTGTGCATGTTTTAGGCAGCCTGTGAATTCCCACAGGTGGGGATCCAAACATGGATCAGGAGCACCATGAATTTCTGCTAGTACAGGAGTTTGTTGCTAAGAGTCAGACTGGAAAATATTGATCTCAAATAGTGTCCAAATTCGTGGTGGGAATGATTTTAAGAGTGAGACCAGTCTAAGGGAAATGGTTTAGTTGAGTTCAGAAGAAAATATTCCTGTGAGGAAAAGCAGCTGAGTGTTGCTCCCCCACCCCTGTGCTGTTTACACCAGGCAGAGAAAAGAGGCAGCTGCAGTGGTACCTGAAGCATCAGGTAATTTCCTGAACTCTGGGTGGGGACAGATGATCATGGAAGCTCTAGGAAGTGTGGAACAGCAAGACACAAGGAGTGGGTGTGTTTGACACCTCAGTGAGGGAATGCAGACACTGAATTTATTTATGGCACATGTAATCGTGTTCTGACTAGCACTACCTTGACTGGCATTTTTAATGACTTCACAGGTTAAACTATTAAAATTAAACTGGGTATAGGTGTCAACTTAGGAATCCTCTCCCTGGGCCAGGATTAAGATACATGGATTAAATGAAATCACTGCAATCTAGCAGGTGATGGTTGTGTGAAGAACTGGAGAAATTCCCTCTCCATGCTTAGCAAATCTAGTCCAATTCACAGGAATGAATCTTGTATTTTTTTGAACTGAAACAGGAAATATAGCAATACAAATCAATATATTTCTGTTTTATTGGAACTACTTATGATATCAAATACAAGTAAGAACCCAGGAATATGTTACTGCTAAACAACATAAGCCTGTAGACACTTAAAGGAGGGCAAAGTAGCAAAAATAAAGAAAAGCTAATTAATCAGACTCCTAGTTCTGCTTGTAGGTCCCTGAAGAGATGGAAGGATAGGACATTTTGCTTTAAAAATGGTATCTACAGCACAATTATGGGTTTTCATCCATTGTTTTAGTGTATGAGATACACTGGTTGGAGTCTGTTCCATGTTAAGGAGTTTACAACCAGCCTGTCCCAACTTACCTTGACTCCCTGAGGCTGTCTTGGCATTTAGGGACTGTTATTGATCAGAGATGCCATCTTTTATTTGTTCTTGTATTTAAAGTTTGCATTTTTATTCCAGTTATTGCCTTTGCATGCATACATTTAGAACCAATCTGTTTTATTTCATGATTCAATGGGAGCAAGGTTTTGGTGATTTTTGTCCCACTCTTTTTATTCAGCACTTGTTTGCTACAATTCAGGGTTATGATTTCTGTCTCAGAAATGCCCTAAATATAGAACTGACTTATTTTTACTTCTTTATTTCACCTCTTAAGGTACATTCAGTGTCTTATTGGGAGTCCTGAAGATTTTCTTAAGTTGTCATCAGGAAAATAATTGGCAAGCTACAAATCATTTCCTGCTGTGGGGAAGCTGACAGTGGAAAGAAGGTAGGAGGAAACAGTTTCTCTGGTTTGAAATGGATGAAAGACCAAAAAATGACCCTACTCTACCAACATTATTTTCTTTCTGAAGATAGGGAATTTTTTCTTCCTTAGGTCTCCAGTGAGTGTGGAATTAATAAGAAAAGGATGAAGCATTGCTACTGAATCAAACACTGTAAAATCAGTTTGCTCAGTTTCTGTCCATGTTGTGCTTCCATTGTTTTCTTCATTAGGAAAAGTAAACACTTTTGTTTTTTGCTGTAATGTGTTATTTATGTTGTTGCTTTGCATCATATGTTCTGCAGGAAGTTTCTCAGCTTTTCTCTGTAGCTTTTGACATTTAAACACTGATCATCAAAGCAGTGTTGTGGAATTAGGATGTAACTTCAGAGGTTTTAGTGTTTGCTCTTTTAGAAATGCAAAAATACCAACTGACATCAGTTTAGAAGATTTAAGTTCCCTTTTGGCAAAGCTGTCAACTTTTGATATTTCTAGTCACTTTTCTTCCCCTAGCTCAAAAGGAGATGGATCCTTTCTTTTTGCCAATCTCTTGTTGATGTTCTTACAACATTATTCTCAAAGAATTCCAGGGAATTATAGTCTTGATTTGTGTGGCTCTATTTTACTCTAGATGACTCAGTACATAAAAAGAAATGGCCACTGTTCCTAGGCAAATGAGGCAAAAGTCTACATCATCCACCCTGTCTTCATGGCAGAAGGATCTAAACAAGTTATCAAAACAACTTAGATATTACCTATTTTTGGTGGGTTTTGGTTTTGTTTGGGGTTTTTTGTTTGTTTGGGTTGGAGGTTTTGGGGGTTTTTTAATTGGTTGGTTGGTTGGGGTTTTTTTGCTAGTTAGGCACAGGTGAAAATTTACATTCCTATCTTGTGAACCTTTTAGAAAAATATTTATTTCCCTATTGTTTTATTGTTTCTCAGACAGCAATTTTCCCATGGGCACCATCTCCCCTAATCCTTTGCTGAGTTTATCTCCAGTCTTTAGCAAAAAACTATAAAACTGAAAATTTCCTGGTGGAAAAAAAAATCAATCACTGCTTGATATATGATGCACAATGGAAGTAAGTGCTTGGATGTAAATCCTGTTTGGCATTTCTCTTACATTTTGAGAAGATGATTTATTCACTGAGCTCCTCTTTTGTACACTGAGCTGTTCTTTTCACACCTTTAACTCAAGTATTTCTGTTGTCTGCTTTGTAAAGTGATTTCCCACACAATTACATCAACACAGTGGAGGCAGGAGTGAGCATGGGTCAAAGCTTGATGCAGAGGGTTGGGAGACATTTTTAAACAGAGAAGAAGCCACAGTCCATACTCTCACATGTACACAGGAACAGAATTTCTCCTCATACACTAGGAAGGCCTTTTTTGACAGTAGCTGCATTAAAAGTATGAAAAAATCCTCTGGGTTTTCCCTGTGTTTCACCCCTAGCCCCCAAAATATTTTCTGCTGAATTTTTTTCTTGCTGAAAGTTTTGCAAGCATTTTTAATACCAGCTTTCCAAAAGAAAATCTGTGTAGTGCATGATGTTTATCAATGAGATGTTGTAGCAGACCTTTTCACATGAACCAAACTGATTGTGAGTGATGTAATACTGGATGTATTATGTACTGATGGGCAGCAGGAACACTTGGAAGTTTTTGTGGTGCTAATCTGTAAATCAGGGTACAGAGAGGAACATTTGTCATGCTGAGGGGTAAATCCAGTGTCATTGCATGGATTATTTTACTGGGTTTAGTGGGGACTTTTTCTCCAATGATCATTTTATCTGGATTATCAACCTGGCTTGCTGCATCAGGATATTTGTGAAATGGACATAATAGCATTTGTAAGAGCTCCCACATAAGGGGAGGAGGATGTGCACCAGCCTCCCTCTGGTGTAACAGCCTCTGTTCACACTTGACCAAGGAACCTGGAAAACCGGAATTGAGAACAACAATAATCAAACTCTTTAAAAAGTTGGACCTTGAATTTGTTGAAGTGCACTGGGTATTGCAGGAACAGGAATGTTAAATACCCCAACAGGTTTGCAATGAGCTCCAAGAGAAACTCACTGCCAGGAAGGCTTTGTGGATGTTCTTGTGCAGAGTGATGCTGGCTGGATTATTGCCAATGCTGTGAGAAGTACAACTGAGTCAGCCTAAGGTTTCCTAGTTCACTGAAGCAAGGGACATAAGGCAAGCTTGCCTTCTGACAATAGCATTACAAGGTCATTTTTCTAGTTAAGATTTAACAGTATTTGTGTTTTCTGTGCTGCTTAATTAATTAAGCAACTGTGATGGTGCTCAGGCTGCAGATCAAGTCCAGCAAACAGGAAAGAAAGTGAATCATGACTGGACTATTAACTCAAATGAGAGTCATGAGGTGTTCTAAGCCTATTTTCTATTGGAGTTTTGGGCTTTGAAACTCATGTTGAATCAGAGCAAGGTTGAACTGTAAATTACAGCCTGATTCAGGTAATTTTGATTGCTGTATAGAAATTCCTAAATCAATTAATGCTATTACAGGTAGACAGAACAGCTAGATCATATTCCTACATTTTCAGATGTTGCCAAAGGTGTGGATAGAAAAGCTGTAGTTAGAAACTGCAGAGTGACTTGGAAACTGCAGGCAGCCAAGAAACTCCTTGTGACAAGAACAACCTCCTTTGTTCCAAATAACCTCAGAAGGGGCCACAGGTACAAGCAGAACTCTGCATGGAGCTGATTAGCTCCCATGTCAGTGGAGTTTAATCGGACTGAAAGAGTGTGGGCACAGTCAGGTGAGTGTGGAACCTTCCTTGAACTGGTGAGATTCATTAACTTTTGGTGCTGTGATTTATGGTGCCACTGACAGGAATGACACTGCTGGGATCACTTAATTTACCTTTATAGGAGACCTTGTACTGAGCAATTGTAAAGAGTTATTGAAAGTTCCCTGTCTCCTACTGGTTTACAGTGTGCATAAGTAGAAAAAAAGGTTATGCTAAACTCTTATTTTTATCTGGATTTCCATGGGTGGTCCTTATGCTGCTTTGATGGTTGTGCATGTGAGCATAAATCTTCAAATGATCAGTTTTCACATAGTGTCACCTGACATACTTTATTAAAATTTTGGTAATATGCTAATTATATTTGACAGAATAAACTCCAAATTTTTATATCTTCTGATACTTTTATACATGTGAATTTAATTGTCTCTTCTTGTTCTGCTACCAGAGTTGTTCTCAGTCTTGTGTTCTCCATGCTGGTTTTACAGGACATTGAGGACTTAATTGTCAGTGTGCAGTTACTCATTTTTCATTCAATCACGTGGTATTGGTGTGTTAATGAAGGAAATGGAATGGGATGATGGGGCCTAATATATTAAAAAAACCCTTATGATAAAGGTTTGTTTTTTAATGTGACAACTAAAACTAATTAATCTTTAGACCACATTTGAATCCAGTGAGATTTAAAAGTTTCTTTAAAGAAATCACTGTAACTTAAAAATGTGTTTTGTTAATTTAATGGTTTAATACATTTAAATTAGCTAAGTAATTTGAAAGAAAATTACTTTGCCATCACTTTGAAACTTGTTTCCATTGGTTTCTAATGGGACTTGAATTCTTTTCCAGATATAATCTGTTTCATGAGGGTGGCTCACGTTGCAATAATCCTTCTCATTACATTTCTAGGACTTAACTCCTTTATTCCTTAATAACACTCTTGGCAACTGGTACAGAGCAGTGTCCTGTTCCAGGAGTACTCTGCTTTTTAAAAATAGTACTGAAGCTCTGTGAAGTTTGCCTAAGGGTTCTTCTTGATGACTAAACTGAGAATTATCAAATACCTGCAATGTTTCCAGCATGCAGAAGAGATATCAAAATCTCTGGGTTTGTTCGCATTTCCCGGACCTAAGAAAAATGTCTGCGGGCTTGGGGAAAATAGTTCTGTCTTTGGTTTTTTGGTTGGTTGGTTGGGTTTTTTCAGTAGTAGTTGTTGCACAAAGCCTTTCCAAAACAGCTGAGTGGGGCTGCAGCACAAACTTAAGTCAAGATTTCTGTATGCAGAGTTTCCAGGTTGACGTTTCAAACCCCTGCAGTTCACACTGGGAGAAATCCTGATGGTTTCTTGCTATGTTAGAATATTGTTTCCAGTCCCTGGTGCTGGCTCACAAATGTCTGGTTTGTAGTGTGTTCAGAAGGACTCCTGCTCCTCAAGCACACTGAGGATGGTGTACCCTTTGTAGCCTTTGTAGCTCAGTGCTGTTTCCAAAGCTGCATTTAAGTAGATGTAGCTGATTCTGCAGTGTCTGAAAGGACAGCATGCAGGGTGTCTCTCTAGACTGTTTGTGTGGTTTTTCTTTGGCTTGGAAAAGTGCAGTGAAAGGGCACGTGACAAACTTGCCTTCCTTGCTGATGGCAAAGGCTCTTTGGAAAACTTGCAATCCAAGCACCATTCCACTTCAACTAAGCAGTGTCAGAAAACAGCCTTGTCCCATCAAACATGGAATAATAATATTATGTTGCCTTTGTTAATTTGATCAGTGTTTTTATAAATTGATTTATTTAAAGAATAAAGGAAAATGAAGAGTCTCTGAAGATAGATTCTTAGATTGATTTAGAGATAAACACTTTTTATGAGTTGTTCTTTAGATTTCTCCATTAATTTAGGGGCTTGTTTTAACTATGTTATTCCAGTTTTTCTCACATTTCCTATGTCAGATTCTGTTTGCATGTCATTGCTTAGGTAGCCTAAAATAGTGGGATGAGCAAGCTCTGGGCATACTCAGTGGTTTGTATTCTCCTCTAGTTAGAAAAAATAAGGCCCCTTTTCTTCCATGAACCCTATTTGTTTGCATTACAGACAATAGCATTACAAGCTCATTTTTCTAGTTAAGATTTAACAGTATTTGTGTTTTCCTTGCTACTTTATTAATTAAGCAACAGTGGTGGTGCTTAAGCTGCAGATCCAGTCCAGCAAACAGGAAAGTGAACCATTACTGGACTGGTTCAGTTTTTTATTTACTCAACTCAAATTTATTTATTATATATACTCAACTTTTATTTATTATATATTCAATTTATTTATATTTATTATATATTTATTTATATAAATTTATTTATATTTATTATACATACTCAGTATATATACTCAATTTATTTATTATATATACTCAACACAATTTATTTATTAACTCAAATGAGAGTCATGAGGTGTCTCTATTGCTTGTATTGCTGCATTGCATGTGGTTTGAAAAGAGGCTTTAGGCCAAAAACATCTGTGTGATGGAAAGTGATCCTTTCTGAGCAAAGTGTGGGAACAGCATCTTTCTGATGGAAAGATGTTTTCCCCTATTAGTTACTAACAGTTCCACCAGCCTGTGGTGCAGATGCTCACCCATGTATTTGCACAAGCTCCATAAAACAGGATGTTCAGAAATATAGAGGAAAATGTGAATAAATTATGAATATGCAGAGCCAGCCACTGGCAGTGTTTTCTGCTTCTGAGAGTGAGAGGCAAATGATGTTCTTACTAAAATCTAAGTCAGAAATGGCTAAAATTAGCATTTATATACAGCCAGAAAATATATGTCAGGTTTAAGTGGGTGGTGGAACTCCAAATTGAGCCAGTAGTTAAACTCAGTGCTGTGATGAATATAACCTACTGAATTAATCATGTTCTTTGTCCATTGAGGCAAAATGTTACTGGGAACTAATCCACATGAAGGATTATCTAAAAGGCAGTTTTAGACTGCTCTGTAAATCATGCTGTAAGGATCTGGAATAGTCCTCATCCTGGTTACAACTGTGTTTGTTATCAAGGTCATTTATAAATGGTATGCTCTTGGCAGCCAGTGATGGTGTAACTCTCCTCTACCAGCAGTAAGGAAATTCCAAACTCTAGATCAAATGTATAATAAAATATTTACTACAAGGCACAAAGACTTGGTTGTGTGGTTTTGGGGTTTTTTTAAAATATAGCTATATACTTGCAAATCTAAGCTGAGATGTACTGGTTCAAAACCACCAAACCCCAACATCTGTTGTTCTGAAGGGTGTTTTGAGTTCTAAATCTGTAGCATGAGTGCATGTTGCTGCACCCAGTGGTTTTGTTCTTGCTTCATTTTGGTTATTGCATCCCTCTGTTCATCTGGTAACTCGGGCACTGGGTAACAGCAGTATATTTGAGCTGCTTTCTGTATTGTGTTGGATTCAGTGGCATTGGAGCAATTGGCACAGTAGTGTTGAGCTCACTGGGAGCGTGAGGACTCACAAAGCACTCAGCAGGCTCTTCTGAGGCAGTGGGTAGCACCATTGCTGTCACAATGTTCAGGTGCTTGTCCTGTCTGGGGGTGATCCCTTGCTTGCCACGCAAAGAATTCCTTTCCTCCTGTGTCTCCAACCATGGGAGTTGGCTTGGGCTGTGTGGCATGGCCAGAACAACAGCTTTGGTTTGATGCTCCTGATTTAGGCTGAGCTGTTGGAACACAATGCTTCCCAGCAAGCACTCCAAGGCAACATGATTTTCATAGCTTATTATCCCCTTTCCCATTTCCTGTCCCCTTTTTCCTGCTGGCATATTTCCCTGTCTCCTATCCAGTCTTTTCCTTCTCTTGCTTTTTATCTTGGTCCCAGTTTTGCTGCATCTACACCCAGATCTGGCATTTCTGATGCATTACCTAGATAATCCCAGTCTTTTTTGCTGCTACTGGTGCAGTTACACAAATGCTGCTGGCCTCTACTCTCCAGAAAATCCCCAGCACTCTCCTTCAATTATCTGTGGAATGAATCTCTTTTTCATGTAATTTCCACATTCCTACCTGTGAAGCCCAGTTGTTCTTTCATTTCTGCTATTTGTGCCTCTTCTCACCTGTGGCATTTTTCCATGCCATGCTCAGCTGATTTCCATGTCCCTGCAGCCCTAGTAGGTATTTAAGACAAACTCTCTCCTTCTGCTATGCCTTTTCCCAGGTGGAAGGGCTTCTCAGGGCAAGAGCCAGTTTTTTGATCATTCAAAATGTCTATAAAAGGCTTTTTCCTTGCCCAGCAACCCAGAGAAGTGAAATAAAACTGCCATGGCAGGACACTGAGCACTGAAACTGAACTGAAAGGTACTCCAATACTTCATCACTGCAGTTTAGTTATTTTCAGAAAAAGCTTAAATATTTTGTGATTCATGGCCTTCCTGCTGTCTCAAAAGTTGTGCTGTCATTTCTACAGAGATTCTTTTTCCAAGGTAGCACCAATAGGTTTCCCAGGCTAACATAATGATTCTGCTTGGTATCCACAAGGATTAGAAGTGGTCTTTCAGAATAGTAGGTAAGAGAAGGATCAGTTAAATTACTGATCAGATGAACTGGATAGAATAAAGACACATTAATATTTAGAAACCAAAAATTATTATGTAAATATTGATAGTAATAATAGTTAATATTAATACTTTTAGTTAATAGTTAATTGTAATAGTTTAATAAATAGTAATTAGTGATTTTAGTTTAATAGTAGCAATACTTTTACTCACATAATGCCCTTTTTAGTAACTTCAAAGGAAGCAAGAGGAGTTTTCTTTAAATTATCTCACTTTTATAAGTTTTTTTCCCTTAGGCACAGCCTCTGGGTTTATGGGCACAGGAGGGAGTTTCCAGCAGGAGCTAAGGCGTTTCCTTTGCTGTGCCAGCCCCAGCAGGGCTGTGGGAGGCAGAGGCTGTGGGAGCCGGAGCTTTGCCCCTGGCCCGGGGAGTCTCTGCTGTGCCAGCCCAGCAGAGCAAACGTTTGTGGTTTCACATCCCGTTCCAAGGAGCTGCCGGGGCAGGAACGGGGATGGGCACGGAGCAGGGACGGTGCCGGGCACAGGGTGACATCCAGAGGGTGCCACCAGCCCGTCCCTGCTGCCCAGGCCGGGCTGAGCAGGCTGGTGACCGTCCCTGCGTTTGCTCCGCAGGGAGAGGAAGCCAAGCCTGGCGAGGAGGAGGATGAGGAGGTGTGGGAGGATGGAGACAGCGGCCACCAAAGGCTGGGGAAGGCCCAGCTCCAGGTAGGAGATGCTGCCTTCCAAGGAGAGGGACTTGTCTGTCCCACTGGAATTTGGGGTGTGAGGCCAATGGAACAAAGGGGTTGATTCCATTTTCTTACATGGGCCAGGCTGTGCTTGAAACAGCCCAAGGCAGCAGAGAGCTGGAGTCATTTCCTAGCAGGGAGCTTGACTTGGAAGCTGCATTCCAAACATTGTCCACATTTATTTTATCTACCACATGGAGATGCCTAAGGAAGGTGGGGTGTTCCTAACAAAA